GCAAACCCGGACTAAAAGCACTTTCACTCTCTGTTCGTATTCATTTTCTTCATAAGTGAGAGTCGAATAACTAATTTCAGATTATTTTCATTCTTCGCAGATGTAAAATGGGTTAAACATTCTTAGTATGACATTTTATGAATAAACAATTAATCGAGTATAAATTTAGAAAACTAAAGTCAGTTTCCAAACATTTTTAATCTAAAAGAAAATATATCTTAAAGGCATTCTAAATATCATTTAAATGCACTTATGAATAATAGAATCACCTTTCAATTGTAAAGAAATGTAAACAACTAAATAATTATTGAATGCAACTAAGCATAATTCTTCACTCTTTCTAATGTAGGATTTCTCATTGGTGTATTACAGAATCTATACTTCATCTTCAAATTAACTGAATTTGCAAATGAAGATTAAGCTTTTATATTCTACCGAAAATTAAAGAATTCTAAATCTTATTAATAGGTACCCTAAATCTTGGAATGCTAAAACTTTTATCGGAAATAAAGCTATAAATAATATTTTAATAGATGAAACAATTAGTTTATTACTAGCAATTTAGTGGCAATTTAATTTTATTATTCACAGTTTCATCGTTCCGTGCTCTTATCTCAGACAACGAGTTGCCTGCATATGCAAATAGATATACCTATAGTAATTAGAACAATAAATCAATAAACTATTTTCAAATGTTTTTTTTTCCTAGTTTTTTAACTTAGTTTAGTTTTAACTATTTTCAAATGTTTTAGATTATCCTATCTGTGGAAAAACTGTGTGGAAAAAAATGTTTAAACGAGCAATGAAAGGGACATAAAACGTTATTAACTATTATAGTAGGGTAGTTCTTGGCATCTTTAGGGGTAGTTCTTTGCACCACGTGACTAATAAAAATACGATTTTGCATTTGAAAATGATATATTAACAGCGGTTAGAGATGCATGATGGAAGGAAGAGCGAAACATGTGTTCGGCACTCATTAATCGTCGGGTTTAACGTATTAAATGCTGACCCTTGAAAAGTTCTATTTGAAGCATTAAATTTAGGCATAGTGATAGTTTTTATTTCTTACTAAAGTTAATGTTTTTTTCCACACTTTCAATTCCCTTTTAAAAATATTTTCGCTAGCTTTAAATTTCCTCTATCATTTTACATGAAACAATTATGCTGGCCTACACAATTTTCGGACCGACCGGATAATCTTTTAAAAAATTTCAAAAAAAAAAAAACACTTTTTAAGACGGTTCATTGTATTAATTTCTTTTATTTCGAGCCTCTTCAGCTTAAGTAAAGGATTTTTCAGTTAAATATATATTTTTCTTTTCCTACTATTTGTTTTTCAGATATACATATATATTTTCGCTGAAGTTTTCCTTGAATGCGATTTGAACACGCGATAGTTTTGCTTACAAAATACACCGTGAAGATATCTCTTCGCCTTAGGATGGTACATTGGAAACAGTTGCTTGAAATCATCTTGAAATCATGAAATTTTTTAGTTCAATAATTTATAAATGTTTATCATAAATGATGTGCAGAATTCGTATAAATAAAATTAATTATTTTATTGAAATTGTTAGCGAAATCTGACTATTTTTTCAGTCCAAGAAAGAGGATTCATAAAACAATTACTGCAATATAAAGGACATTTTATAGCATCCATTCAAGTTTATTTTTAGTCAATATTTTGCCGTAAATATGTAAATTTCAACCAATATTCATTAAACCAGTAGAGATACAGAGAAAATAAATACTAAAATAACAAAAAAACTTATATATAGGCAGATGAATAAACATTATCAAGATGAAGTAAATCAGATTCAATTGTAATACTCTCCCCTTGAAAAATCAGTATGTTTCTGTTAATCTAGAATTAGCGGATAAACCATTATAAATTTTTTTTAATTTAACAGTTCACCCGAAAATTCTGAATTCCTCCTCAAAGCAGTTGAATCCCAAATGTAATGAAATAATCTAAAAACAAATCTTTATGAATTAATCTAATGTCCAATAAACGAAAAGAATAATTCCTAAGCATATTTTCTGAAATAAAATGTAATTATAAAATATACATAAAAACTAACAGAGAACTGGAAGCACCACAAATTACTATTTTACCAACGAAACAAACAAAAGATCGAAATTCAGAAAAGGACGCCAAATGATTGCCAGTTTGACATCGTTATGGATTTGTTCTAATTTTCTTTCTTTTTCTCTCTCTCTAGATATATATAGGTATGTATACATTGCACCTCGGTATATCAGGCTTTCCGAGCAGTAACCTCAATAACCCAGGTACAATTTCTATTAGGGTTTTTATCGTACAGTTTTAAATCCTGTCGTCTTTAATATGTGATGATTTATTTATACTTTTTTTGTTGTAGATAATTTAACATTAGAATAGTTTGTTTGATTATTGAATATATCAATTCACTTTTTAATTATGGCCTAAAAATCTGCTTCATAGTTAACTAGAAATTTCAGAGTAGTGGATGGCCGGATGGAATTTTGAAAAAGGCACCACCATCTTGGTAGTTAAACAGCATTTATTTCTGGATGACGAATTTCTTAGCACATATTTTCTTAATTGCTAGGGTTGTTAAATGTGTTCTACAATTTTAGATACAAATTACATCTTGCATAAGGGAGAACAGCCAGCAGAGGCTAAAAGATACATTAGCTAGCAGGAAAGCGAAGTTGTGAAATAGGGATAACCTTCATAAGCATTAGAATGTGTAGTTGAAATAAATTCGGAATTATGGCTGGATGAATTTTCAAACCATGAATTTCTTTTCACTTTAAATAATTCTACTGATTTTAAATACTTTTTGAAGCAGAATCATTTTTCTCCGCCAAGAAATGGGGCCAGGCACAACGATTATGCAGATAGAAATACTTTCCGACGTTATGAAAGGCGTACAATCCATGATTGTCTGCACTGCTTGTAGAAGGCCGATAATTCGCCACTGCACTAAGTCTACAACATGATAATTCAGAGCTTTAACAAAACGTTTTGGGTCCTTATACACTGAAATTAAAAGCTGTATTCCAAATTCAAATAGATATTCTCTTTGCGTAAAACTGTTGATTCACAAGCAGATAAAGTAATGCCTTAATTTGCGTATGAGAAACCGTTTGATGACTTTTTACTTGGTAATACTAGTTAGAGCTGTCTTTCACACGTTCTCTGCAAAACTGGACTACGCAACTGGATATTTACCGAAATAAAATTTGGGCATGTGGTTATAGATACCTTTCATTAAACTTAGATTTAAATAATTTTAGTTAACTTTCTGATTCGTTAATTAAAAATTATTCAACTTTTAATATTTTATATTGTTTATATTGTAAAAGTAATAGAAACAGTAAAAAACAGGTCACAGGTTTTTATGCTGTCCCCTATTTTGTTAACAATAAGAATTACTCCAGTAGAAATTTTATACATATTTTTTATGTATGTATATATATATTCTCTTGTATATATATATACATATTCTTGTATTTATATATATATATATATATTCCCAGTCTATTTCTCTTGTTTAAAACAAATCAATGTTACTTTTCACAAACTTAAAAGCTATAATATACAAGATATATATTAATGCTACAGAGATGCAAATAAAGCAGTTTATAATTTAAGCAGGAAAATGCAGTTCATCTTGTTTTTATGAAGCTTCGCTCAAAAATAAATATTAAAATTGTTTGATATTTTATTATTTGGAATATTTCAAATATCTAATTTCGATACACATTTTAATTAATTAATTTTCTTTGCTAAAAATAATATTTCAAATTCTATCAAAAAAGTAATAAGGTCTAGATTCGTAATTAAAATAAAAGCTGATCTCTGTTAATAAGTAATGAATTTAAGACAGCACGTTTACACGTTACCGTTTTATTACGATTTCATATGAAATCTCCCATTAAAATCTTATTATTCCTATTCCATTATATCTCTTACACTGCAAGATATTATTATTTCTCCTTATTTGCATTTAACCGAAATAACTGCGGTAATGTTAATAAGAAAATCCTTTTTAAACATTAAATTTTTAGTCTTGATCTATACATAGCTAGTAAATATTGTTGTGTGAGTATGGATTCGTAACAAATTGAATGCAGACTGGTCCGATGAGGTTAATAAAATTTATTTTATCAAAAGAAACATTTCAAAGTTCTCGAATTTTCTAGAAGCTAACTCAGAGATATATCAGTACTCCGATCTCACGCTGAACTAAAAAGTCGCAACAATAACAATTATAACTGAGAGCAAATACTCTCTCAGGCCATATATAGTTTTCACCCGGCTGCCGATATATTTCTAATACTTTCTGCTTCTCGAAATTATCGGAAGGCAACATGAGTGCTAAATACAGTCTTACATTAAATCAATTGCAGTTTTTTAATTACAATTCTTATTACGGTGATACGGTATCGAAAAAATGTCGCTAAATGGTCCCCAAGTTTGGTATTTTTTGCGATTTCTCGCCAACTTTGGCGACAAAATATGTCGTCAAAAACGTGTCAACTTGGCGGTATCTCGCCAAATTACCGAGTATCCATTTACTCAATGTTAAATGGACCTTATATTTCGCGTATTCATTTAACATTAACAAATACACTTTTTGAAGTAAATTTTTATTCCTTGAGCGCTCTTATTCATTACTTTTATAGTAATTATTTATTTCTGGCCACAAAATTCCTCGGAAATGCGCATTTAATATATAAGAAATTAATGCTTTTAAAATAGTTAGTTTAGAAATTATTTCTTTTAGCATTAATTTCCAGCAGATGCAATACTAATCAAAAGTTTTATATTCTGGCAAAATATATTTCATCATATTTAGTTCAAAACGTTACGATTTCTAATGCTTTTTTTGCACAGATGTTTATTTTCTTTTCACCTTTATAGTTACCGGCTTGTATGTGCTTTCATTTTTCAAAATATTATGGTGATATAGTAATAATTCTTTATTAATATGGATCTTTCCTTGCAGATCAAACGACAGGTGGTCCTCTTACAGCACACGGTAGTGAGAGATCTTTGACTGTCAGAGGTTTAAATCCAAAGACGAGGTATTTCTTTAGGGTGAAGTGTTTAAATGCGTTGGGAGAAAGCCAATATGGCGCTGAAGTAGCTGTCACTACTCTGGAAGAACGTAGGTATAGAGACTTAGGTGCTTGTAAGAAATGAAATGTTTGAATTTATATCAATCGCCGAGACAAGTACCTACTATGTAAGATAAAAATATGTAAAGCAAACTTCTAATTTTAATTTTGCAATGATTCCTTAAGATTCTAATTAAATTTTTATCTTTTTCTTCTCCATCCATTTCATAACGCTGAATCACGCCGCTAATTCAGAACTTAAATTCGAAATTTGCAATTTCCTTTTGAACCAGGCCTCCATATTGGATGACACACTTGTTTCCAGTTTCTTTTGCCAATTAGATGCTTTGCCACGCTAATTTTTTCTTAAGCAGCGTTACCAAATATGTAAACATTCTGAAACAGACACCACTAATGTGTAAAGTTATTTGTAGCCGAAAATGTGAATTAAAATTAAAAAAAGGCATTCTTAAATCTTCTTCGGCTGCCATGTTTGTTCTTTATTGTGGATCAACATCAACGCAATTAGCCTTTATGCTCTGTTACATAGATATATATATATACATATATATTTAGAAGTTATCTCCTGCATTTACAAAATATTCTAATCCTAATGAATGTGAGGATTCCTTTACTCTTTTACTTGCTCTCTCTGCTAAGTTGATGATGTTTGAATTTTAACCCAGTTTTAAAGAAGTATTAATAAAATACAAACTTAGATAACTTAGATAGTTCATTATTATACTCAAACAGGTTAAATAATAATACTAAAGTCATAAAAGAATATTATTTTTAATAAAATATATCTATACATATATATATATTTAATAAGTTTAGAGCATGGAAGAGGAATAGCTTGCAGTCGTTGTGGCCTATGATGAAGGCTTACAGACGAAGATAACAAAACATGAACTTGAAGAATTTTTAGTCTTTATTTCCACGCTGATAAAATCATATATATTTATCCAATCATGATGAAATTCAATGCATTTGTATGATTCAATCATAGTGAAATATGATAAATTGCTATGTGCATTGGTTTCCTAAAATTATGACCCAGGACTTTTAGAAGAGGGAAGCGGGAAGATATAAGCAATGTAGAGCTAGGCAGAATGACATAATTAGCTACTTACGTAAATTTTATACCAAAGTGGGTGCGGTTCTATAGACCAGCTATGGTTAATATTAGTTTTTGTTGTCCTTTTCCAGTAGCGTTCCATAGAAAAATCTCGGAAGTAGGGAGAACAGATGAATTTAGGAGGAGAGCACCAAATCTAGAATGTTAATTTTTAGATCGCTAATTATTTTTAAAGCAGCTATCGTATTTTGTTATATCGTATGTAATAGATATATAAATCTCTAAATCTGTATGATTGTCTGAAAGTTCTCAAATGAAGTAAGTACAGTTTTATGCTTAATAAAACAAAGCACAGATGAGATAGAAAATAGAATTTTCAACACCTGAAGAAAATTTCAAAGTTGCATCCTAGAAACATTTATATCACTTTCATATTAATTTATGAACTGTCATTTTTAATTTATGTAAAATTTCATTTTATACTTGAGATTAGTGTTTCACTTTCTTCCCTTGTCATAGCTGTGAAATAAAGCTACAATTCATACTAATGCATGCATTTATTTATATTCTCTTTTAAAACTGCATTTTTGGCTGCGAGTAAATCTCATAAAGAAACATTTCTTTATTTTGTAGCTCCAAGATTGCCACCTCGTTCTTTGAACGCAGTTGCGGTATCTTCAAGATCTGTAAATGTATCTTGGCAGGTATGTTCTCAAACTTCCATTTTCTTTCTTAATTCTAGATTTGCTAAAGTTATTGTTATTAAATCCTTTATTAAGAACTCGGATGGTTCTGAATACAAAATGTAGAGATTTTAAATTACATTTATCTTTATCAATTTTTTATCTCGTGCCTATACTTCGATATTTGTGTGTTCGATATTTTTACGTATGTTTACATTTATCTTATATTTGATACGGGCATTTAATTTCCAGAATTTTAGTTTTAGATTATTCCGTAATATTTATTTTAGTATATGTTTTATATTGAAGTTAGCTGACCATATGAGAACAAAATTGCAGGTTCTCCTCCCCCCAACCAAATTATGCTTTCTTATAGATGCATTGTCTTGCATTCTCTAAACGTTTCTCTAAACAAAGTTTTATTATAAATTAATAAATTTTAATAATCTTATTATTAAAAGTACATAAAATAGCTTTCCAGTTACAGTATAAAAATTTGATTATTTTAATTTTCGTTTGTTCCTTATTTTAAAATACGCCGAAAAATATTTTTCCTGCAACGTGCCTTATTTTAAAATACACTAAACCGGGATTAAATTTTATTATTGCTACAATTTCAGATATGCAATAAATACAAAATGTAAAACTATGTGAAATCTTTATTGCTGCTTGTACATATAAGAATGCCAACACTGTAGGGGTGTTTTTTGTAAAATAAGCTTACTACACAGACTTAAGTCTGTGCAAAAGGCCAACATTACATTAATAATTTTTATTTCTCTGTAAATATACTTCAATTTTGGCATATGAATAATTTTTGACACATAAATTGAATTAAAAATAATGTTTTCTTTAAAATTCTGTAGTAGAAAACAGACAATTTTTGGACGGTTTTCTAGTTTATTCAACTAAGAAGTGGTTAAATAGGGAAGAAGATATGTTCGTCATAAATGGGGTATTAGATTTATATGTACACGCAAAAGAATAATAATTGAAAAGTAGATGTAACCCCCAGATTTTAGAGAATTTAACATCACTGAAATCTAGAAAACAGGGTATCGTGGCTGTTTTCCGATGCAGTCGGGAACGACAGCATTGTATCTGAATTCAGCCGGATAAAGTTCTAGACTAATGGTTTTAAAATGAATGTCTTTAATGAGCCATGACTAATGACTTTAAAATGGGATGTAATTGTATTGTCTAAACGATTAATCCGGAATAATGAGAGTTTTCAAACAATTTGATAGACTGGTTGTAAATTACAGAGTAAAGCCCAGGCCAGTCTAAAAGATTCTTTCAAGAATATACATTAATGATATTAAATTATACTATTTTATGGAAGGTCCTGTGTTCTTAGAGAACTGGATAATGGAACCTAATGAAACTAGATGGATTCTACTTTACATTAGAAAAAAACAGAGAAAATGCATACAGAGAAGCGCTTGCTATCGTTAAAAATATTCTGTAAAAGATTGAAAATATCCTGCCCAAATGCTTTGCGAAAATCTATTTTATTCATTATTAATTTTTCGTTTCTGCAACAAGTAGTAAGATTGTAGTAATCTTTGTTAACAAAATTAATTGCTAATTCAGTTCTCTAGTTAATTTTCAGAATTAAGCTTAATTTTGTTTTAATTTTTCATTTCAGTTTGATTGCAGAAACTTAATTTCACACAGAAAAAACGTTATTCGACTTTCTGGAATATAATGTATTACGTTGTCCGTTTATTCAAATAGTTTGAACACTTCAGAATGCAAGTATAATATGCATACACAATGCAGTGGTCAATTATTTAGAATTGTAACATATGCGATCTTTCTGTAAGTCAATAATCTTGAGCTTAATCTAAAAGATATTAATTAAATTAATATTGGCATGCCGTACATATAATGCAACAATAGATGAAATTAAGAATTGGTCTGCTGCAGTTATATCAAACAGAAAGAGTGTGTGCGTGTGTGTGATTTATGGCAAAGCCTCGGGGGCTATCTGCCTAAGGGGAGGGATGCCTTCGTGGAGGACTTTCCAAGGGAAACTGGCTCGTATACACGTTACACATTGGAAAACCACGAAAAGACCCATGCAGCCAGCCCGTTCTCGGGATTCGAACCTCGGACCGAGCTACCAGTGTTCAGCGACTTTACCGCTTGGCCGCTGCTGGACTCAAACAGAAAGAGAAACAGGGCAATGTGAAATTTAGAATTAGGTAAAAAAATTTTAAGCTTAATTTGGTCCCTCCTTCTTCTTCAGGGAAAGAGGAAAAAAGTTTTAAAAAAATCGAACTTCTTTCATCTACAGGCATTAATACCTCTTATTTTAGGTATATCTTTCACTTTTATCCCATTTAAGCCTTTCACGAATATAAATAAAGTTGAATAATTGAACACACAAGCACTGTGATTCGGAGACGGGATCTTTTAATGGTCTCTGCAGGCGCTCCCAACTTTTGATTGACTTCAAGTGAATTTGAGAATTTTTCTTTAGCTCACCCTGCCACTGTTTGACCAGGATCATTACGCGGTATTTATCTTCGCTTTATGCCGAGAATATCGAGACTCGATGTGTTTCGGTTCTTTAAAGACCTTACTTACCTCAAAGGGCATGAGTCTGTCCAGCCGTTCCCTTGAATGGATAGGATGAGGGTAAAGAAAGAGAGTGTAACTTCATAATCTGGTGTTCAACGTAGAGACATGAGATTCCGAGATATTACCTAGAAAATTAGATATTTTTAAACAAAATATATCAAATCCAATACAGTAATAAGAAAAAAGTGGTCAGAGTACAATCGTTGCAAATTATTCACATATTGGCAATAATCATCATTTAAAAAACGCAAGCAAACGCCCGTGTCATGTCGAATGGAGTCCAAACAGGTTACACTGCAAAGCGCGCTTGTTCAACTCGATAAGAATAAGGCCGTTAAGTGACATCACATAATTTGGTCATGGTTGCTGGTCGCTACGTATTCAGGCTTCTAAAAACAATACATTTTGGTAAAGAGAATGATGCTGTTCTTAAATTTAAAACTACATTGTGAAAAGGAATTCTAATCACGTGATCTTACGGAAGAGCAAAAAATCATTCTCAAATAAAAGGTAAATATAAGCTAGATAGACATTATTCTAGATTATTCTTAGATTCTCGGTTACGCTGTCTTACTGCAATTATTCTCACTTTCATATGGAATCAATCTTGACTTCTTTGCTGCCCCTTATAATAACAGTTAAGAATTTATAGCATTCAAATGTATTATGACATTAATCCTGTATATCTTTCTTTTTCTATATTTCCCTAAAAGTTCATCATAGTGTGACCAATAAACTTAGACAATCTGTCAAAAAACTGCATTTTTTTCCAAAATGAAGATACGATACGCAAGTGAATTTCATTTTGAAACTTTCATAAAATGATACTAAAATGTCATATCTTTGTCAAAGGCAGATTTACACTCAAATATTGAATAACTTCATAAAAAAGGAAAGCAATAAATGGCGCTGAATGGGATCCTGTAATGGACTATTGAAGGATTATAATGAAATTGTCAGATGCAGGTTTGAAGATGTGCTTTCCGAATCAAAATATTCCTCACTTCGTGAAGTAAAGGTTTTTGTTTGTGCTTTCCTATTGCTTTTCAATTTGGAATTCTTATAACCCGAATCCTTTATTTCCCCATTCTATCATGCTTTCCTGAAATCTAGTCTGAAGAGACAAATCTTCAGTAGTGCATTTATTCAGGTACGCTTCTGAACAATCCTTAGATTTCTACGAAACGCGATATGATATAAATAGATTTTACGCGATTCTCTAAACTATCTTTTATAATCAATGTCTGCCTAGGAAGCAGCTTAGTTAATTGAGTTTGTTTTAACTAAGCATATTAAACATTGAATCTTAAACATTGAAATGATTTTTCAAAATTCAGCGTTAAAAGAGTGTCCATTTTGAAACTAATATATTTATATATAAATGAGATGATAGAAGAAAAATAAATTAAACAGTTTTAAAATTATAGAGGGGCTTTTATAAAACATGAAAAACACATGCTTAAATATATAATATATTGGCATGTACTTTATATGCTTTAAAATATTTTTAAATAATCGTTATGTCTGAAAAATATATGCAGTTATGCATGTCGAATTAATCATTTAAAAATAAATCTTTTAGTTTTTGTCATTCGTAATTAATAAGCAATAATATAGATAATATATTGTCTTTGTACCATTTTCAGGAAAATATAAGTGTTAATGATTTTGCAACTAACCTGAAGATTAAGTATTAGACTAGAAGGAATTTAGACAGATCAGGTCCACGAATTTTTATCGTGAAAAGGAGTAGCAAGTGTAGTTGTTCAAGGCATTGGGTTCTTTGTAGCTCCATTTCTGTTTAATGTTTGATGGGGGAACTCCACACGGACAGTTCCGAGAGTCTCCTACGCGGTTTTCCCTTTACACACCTCGATAGAACTTTCGGTTAGACAGACTTTTAAGGTCGTTCAGAAATATATATATATATATATGTATATATATAATTTTGCATAGTTCCCACTGAATTTATTTTAAATTAATTTTGGAAATATAAAATTGCATGGTGCAAAAGATATCAACAAGTAAGGTAGTAAGGTAGTAATCAAGTAGGTAATTTATACAGATAATGAGCTAAAATATTTAGAACGCAAATGTATAACGTCCTGGACATTCTAGTTAGGATTCAGTTTCGGAAATTCTTAGTGAGAGAGTGAGAGGAGGAGGATGCTAACTTGATCTGCGGACTAATTTTACTGATTTCTCATTGAGTAAATCATTTCAATTTTGAAAAAAAAAAAAAAAAAAAAAAAGCTTTAAAATTTATTTTTTGCCAAATGTATTCTAAAGTATCTCAAAATTAATTTTCTGTTCAGTAAATATTGTGCTTTTATACTGTTTCTGCAACCTGAAAATTTCATTTACATTCGAAAATTTTATTTACATATCCTTCTTACTCCCTGGGGTAGGAAACACTGGCTTAGCATTATAGTCTA